GTAATTTTTAAACTTCCAGGAAATTAATAATACTAATATCTTTATTTAAAGTTTTAAAAAAATTTAATTTAGCTATTATTTTAATAAATATTTTAGTATTCTTCTAACCAAAATCAATAAAAAATTTTTTCTTGATTTTACAGGCTTGTAAATTAAAACAAAAATAAAATTTATCAAATTTAGTTAAGTTGTTATTAAGATATTTGCTTAAAATTTTAAAAATTTACTTATATTTATTAGGCTATTCAAAGTTGATTAGTTGGTTAACATCATCTCCCTCTTGTTAACTATTTCTCTCAAAATGAAACAAGCCAATTACAACATAGCAAAGACTTCATTAATCATGTGATCAAGTTAACCAATGAAATTTAATCAAATATTCTTGGGCATATATGTGTTTGTTTAAATCTTTCTCTTCTTTCCTTGCATCTGAACCCAAATCACACAAAATAAAATTTAATTAAAGAATCATAAAAAGTCCTCTAGAGCGGCCATCACTTTTACAGTGGCGCAGCCAACCAAAATATTATTAATGAAACCACAGTCGCCTTATTAAGTAAAAATATTCCCAGACCAATTTTGCTGTGAAAGAGGCCAAATTTTTCTAAAAAGCTCAAAAAAATTCAAAAAATAATCTTCAGCCAAATTATAATTTTGAAGATCATTAGCCTAAATTAAGTTAATACAGCCTGCAAAATTGATGGCCGCCCTGGGGGACTCAATTATAAACATGAGGTTATTTTACATTTCATTCAAAAATCAAAATGTATGCTATATATAATTCGTATGAGGGATGACATTTATTCAATCAGTTAGTAATGTTAGTAACGTACTGTAATTACAGTAAACCAAAATTTCCGGGTCGGAATGCGTTGGAGATAGGCCGGCATTTAGCAAAGTAGTTAACAGAGTTTTATAGCAAAATTATCGATTGGGCATTTTTTACTTGATGAACGACTATGACTTCATTACTAAAATTTTGTGATCTTGGGCAAATTGATCAATTCTGGCCCAGCCGTCCAATGGCAAGAAAATTACCCACCGCTTTATAACGATAAATCAAAAGTAGTTTTTACCTGGGTAATGTGGCGGATCACATAATATTGAAGTTAACATGTGGTCTATCAATTGGAATCCAATGATCCTTATATCATTCGACTCATCTCATCAAGATGAATCGAATGGTTAAAAAATATTTGATTCTAACAATGGATTGCGAGATAACCGAATAAATGCCCTTTGATAAAGGGCGAGTAATACTGTGACTAATTGTCATAATTGCATAAAATTAATATACGGAATTGCACATATAAACAAACACGGGTTTTATGATCACTGCATAGAAACTACATGGAAACTGGTCATTCAAAAAGTTTAAGATACGCTATTACACAGAAAAGTAAATGTGCGCATGGTTAATACTTTTAATGATTATATAATTTCTGTGCATTATTGTGCACAATCATTAATATTCTTAATAATCATATAATTTCTGTTCATTGTCATACACAATTGTTAATATTATTAATGATCACATAATTTCTGTGCATTGCTGAGCACAATTATTAATATTACTGTATAAAACCAACAAATAATATTTGATCTGTGAATAAATAAATACATTTTTCTGATCATGTTTATTTATACTCAATTTTTGTTTACCGTAAATTCTCGAAATAGCGTTATTTCGAAAATCGCGCCCCCTAAAAATAGCATAGGTGGTTTCGAAGTAACGGCCATGCGCGTCCCGAAATAACGCGCACCTCGAAGAACAAGTATCAGGTAAATATCGGAATACAAAACTCCGATGTGCACCTGATTTACCGCTAAATATAGCATATCAGTAACATATCAGAAGTCTGTTTGTGATAATCGGATTGCAGAATTAATACTTTATCTCTAAATAACGCGCGCACGTAGTCAAAATAGCGCGCAGATGACCGCTATTTCGGAATTTACAGTATTTTAATTTTCTTTTTTTTAATAAATATCTTCAGCTTTTTTTTTTTAATAATATATACTCAGTATTTATTTATTTACGTTTTTGATAATACTCAGTATTTACTGTATTTATTTATTTATTTGTTTTTTTTTTTAAAGTTCCAATAATATATTTTGATGACTTAAGTTTTTGATAACACTTTATATGTATTAGTGTTTTATAATACATATCGGCAGATTAAACTTTTTAATACGTGTATATATATATAAAGTAATTAACAATAACGATACAAAATTAAAATTTAATTTAATTTTATATCGCTATTGTTAACTACTCAAGTTATTTTTATATACATTAAAAGTTTACATTTAGGATTTGTTTTAAAAACCCATGTAAACCCAACTTCGAAAATCCGCTGATATGAAATCTTTTAATAATACTTTAGAATTTTTTTGATATTTTTTCAACAGTACTTACGTGTTTTATTCAAAATACTTTAGGCGTTTTACATTATTTTAGTGTTTGTTTTTGAAGCTTATTTTACTTTTAGTATTTTTGACAAAACTTTAATATTCTTTTAGCAATGCTTGAAAAGTTTTTTTAATAAATTTTTAATAATTTTTTGACATTGTTTATCTAATATGTATGTTTATGAAGAAATATTTACAATTTTTTTTTTTCTTTGATAATACAGGCATTTTTTTGATGGTGCTTTAGGGAACTAACACTTATTACGTAAATATAGCCTCCCCCATTTGACAATTGAAAATTCTAATGTAATCAATTTTATCAATTACGTTTTTTGATTACATCAGAATTTGTAATTGTCAAATGGGGATTTACGTAATAGTGTTAGTTCCCATAGGCGAACTTTATGATAAGTTATATTACACTTTTTCAAAGATTTTTTTGTGTTTTCGGCATTTTCAGTGAAAAATCTTTATGTATTTTTTAAATATTTAATAATAAAAAATCAGTTATTTTAATATAAATTATTAAAGTTATGAAAACTAAATTATATGCTATAGCACTTGTTTATACACAAAACAATACAGAATAATATACGTGATACGTAGCATGTAAAGATATACGTTATTATCGTTTCCTGCATACATGTAAAAATATATGGGGTAATGCATGAGAAAACATGTAAAAGTGCAAGCTAATACTTGCAGTGTCCACGCCTATTTACGTGTTATGAATGCGCATTCCATGCAATGCCTCGTGTAGATTTACGTGCCGTTTATGTGGTTTTGTACTCCAACAATTCCGTGCTGCAATTTCTCATAGGGTAGCTATATATATATATATATAATTTTATGTCAACCGTTGAAGATATGCAAGTCATTTTTGCCTTTTTTTTTTTATAATTTAAATATTATAATAGTAGGTTTTTAATAAACTCTATTAGTAGCGAATTTTGCTAAATTTTAACTCCGCAAGAAATACCTATATAACTATTATTTCTCTGGCATACAATATAGTGATGACCTAATCTAAACTATTGGAGAAGCAGTGTGGAGGGACAATTAGGCAGCGTGACGTAAATATACGTCATCAAAACAACCTGCATCTATAACGTAAACTATTCAATACATTATCAAAGAGATAAGCTCCAATCTCCTTTTACAACTGGTAACATTTTTTTTCTATAGGTGCTTATTCTTTTGTAATTTTCATCCATCCATTCAACGATAAATTAATATGAAGCTCTATCATATTAATAAAATGGCATAAGTAAGTAATCCGTACCCCGTACAGAGAGACAAATAAATATGTGCGTTGGCGAGTTTTATGTGAAAAATTATATTATACATTATTTTAAATGAAGAATCAATCTAAATAGATAAAACATTAATGGAATAATGAACATTATGATGGCTTTAAACGATTTGTTCGAAGATGTATACAAATGTAAACCATTATTTTAAGTTTAATGAACGATAGGTAATTTATGATGTAAATTTTAGACCGATTTTTCCAGGGTGTAATGTTCTATTTTACAGTAAATTGTACAATGTGTATGGTGATATTAATAATGCAAAACTTTATTAGCTTCAAAATAATGATAATGCATCTATGCGTATTTGTGTATTTAAAAGATCATGTGATATTATAAAGTATAACAATAAAAAAAAAAAGACGACGACAGTAATGAAATTATGTGATCTGTAGGTATATGCAAAATGCAAAGAGTGATTTGTTTCACTATAGTTCGGAGAGATAAATTATCGTAAAAGTCGTAAAAGGAAGGCTTATCATCCGAAATTCCTTAAAGGGTAACGGGCTTGAGCACACTTGCTTATGCAGAATTATTTCGCCACATGCTTGCGTAAGTAATGAAATCCTGCGTATAATTACTAAAGTCACTAAGAAAAAAAAAAAAAAAAAAAACTGTCAAGAGACAATCATTCCAATATGAGATTGTTGTGGTTTTTGAAATAACTGTCTTCTATGAAAAATAAATTGAATATACGTTACTTTCTTAAACAGCATAAATAATAAAGTAATTATGCATAATTAAATAATTACTTTTTTGGCATAGTTCAACACTTCATTTAAAATCATTCAGTCAGGATTAAAGTGATAACTTATTCTAAGAGTTCTAAAAGTTCTAAGAGTTCTAAGAGTTCTAAGAGTTCTAAGAGGCGGTAATTGGATCGTACTCATCTATTTTAAGGAACTATAAATTTGCTTACGGCAAATAACACGGGCCATATCATACTATACCAATATTAAATAAGATTAGGTTTTTTTTTCTGCAACTATTGTAACTATTGCATATACTTGTAATCCATTTTTACATAAATTGCTCATCTCAAAAAGTGAAACAACAGTTTTTTTTTTGATCTTTGATAAATATTTAATGTTTTTATAATTTTACAACCCATTTCCTTCTTTTATTATTCAGTTTCTCGTCCACACTCGCTTTTTTAGATACAATTACGATCACATATTTAATAATCGATCACATTTTTAATAATCGATCACATTTTTAATAATCGATCACATTTTTAATAATCGATCACATTTTTAATAATCGATCACATATTTAATAATGGGAAACAAACAATCAACCGCATTAGCAAAGAATAAAAACAAGAACCAAATCCCTTCAAAACCCCCTACCAGTGAACAAAAATGCTGGTATGCTGAAGGTCGACGGTACGCCTATTATAAGAATTCAAAATATATTTTTCCGGAAGATGACATCGAAATAGATAGATTACAAATGCAACATTATTTATTTCGACATATATTTTATGGAAATTTTTCTGCTCCGGTAGAAGATGTGCTTAACCAAGGTGGTCGAATATTAGATATAGGGTAAAAACATCATTCATTTATATTATTTTTTATTTATTTTTTATTTTATTTTTATTTATTTAATAATTTCTTTATTTGCAGATGTGGACCAGGAACTTGGGTTTTAGAAAATAGTTGTGATTTTTCTCGATCCGAATTTTACGGAATTGATATCGCGCCAATGTTTCCAAGCATGATTAAACCACGAAATGCGCATTTTATACAAGCGAATATTCTTGATGGTTTACCATTTGACGATAATTATTTTGATTTCGTACATTTGGGTATGATTTTTTCATTAATTAAATTTAAAATATTACAAATAATAATTACTGTATTTATTGAAAAAAGAAAATCTAATTTTTTTTTTTACAGGATTCTTATCTGCATGCTTTTCTGAAGAAAATTGGACCACTCAAGTAATTCCAGAATGCATCCGTGTATGCAAATCTAATGGTTGGATCGAATTTTATGAAAGTGATGGTGCCGCCGCATTTAATGGCGGACCATGTTATACTCAAGTCGTGGAATCTTTAAGACAGGAATTTTCTACAATGGATTTAAATATAAGAGCTGCAACACTCTACAAAGATTGGCTTCTTAAAGAACCAACCCTAACAAACGTTCAGGAGGAAGTCAAAAAGCAATCCATTGGTAATTGTGATTGTCTTGCAATGATCATGAAAGAGTGCTTAAAAATTCTCTTTCAAACTTTGGCTCCACGTCTCGCCAAGAATTTAGGAATAAGCGTGAATGAATTTGAAAAAATGTTACAGGATGTTCAAGAAGAGTACGACAAATATGGAACTTACATGAATTTTTACAGGGTCTATGCACAAAAAGTATAGATTAATGAACATACCTTTGACATATATGCACTAATATGCAAGAAAAAAAAATTTTTTTTTTTCTTTTTTTTTTATGAATTAAAGAAATATATGGATTTTTAATGTACTGTACCAAAGGAAAAGAGAATTGGTACACATGATGCAGAATTTTACGCTTTGTACAATTACATAGCTATTATTAATCCATTTTATAATCATACTAAGTTTATTGCTCATTAATTTCTTTGTGAAATACTGTATGCTTTTTAATTTAAATAAATAAATATATATATATGTATACTTTATCCTTATTAATGTAATAAATATCGATATGTAAAGGCACTATTGTACTCCTAATAAGGAAATTTCACATACGTATGTACATATGTGCTTATACATTAAAGCATTAAAAAAAATCGTGTTTCTTAGCAAATGATACAATCACCATCCACCGATGCACCCGACAGGGTTGTAGGTCTTTGTATGCTTAAAGTTGTGGTCTTAAAAGACGATGATTCATTGAAACAATAGTTTTTAATGCGTTGAGCATTACGTGTATATTGAATTGTTTTATGAATTTAATTTCCTAAATAAAAATATGTAAGATATATCTATTTAACGAGCTGACAAATGAATGACAAAAGATTCTAAGTTTCATTTGAAATGATGAATCTTCTCTATATTTGCGATATAAATGAGCATTAAAGACAATCTTATATACTTATCGCGTTAACAAATAAAGTTTATTTAAATTTATATGAATTATAAATTGAATCGAAAATGCCAAAATAATTTACATGGTAATAAGACTCTAAATTTTAACTTTACAGGTAAACCTATTCTTTTTTCATGTTAATGAAAGTAGCTACTTCTTGCTTAAAGAATTTCTTTTACTATAAATTACATTTTTGCTACATGAGTACGTCTGAGTATGGTGAAATTCTCCTTTTTGATAATATTATCTTACAAGAATACTTCTGGCGATGCATTATCTTGTAAACTAATCTTGACGTTAACTATATCTACTAAGCATATTATTGATCTCTTCACACCTTTCGCATGTATGACATTTCACACTATGCTTTTACAATAATATACAAAAGGAAATAAAGTAACATTATGAAATATCCTCTATACAAAGCATGCCAAAATCAAAAAACTTATCGAAAGTTTCTCAAATTTGAGAACAGCTGTAACCGGTTTGTGTCCTGATATTGATTTCAAACAGGTAACAGGAAACCGTTTTTTTTTTATTACAAAACTAACATGAATCAGGCACTAGAGATTGGACTCATGAATGAAGCTCAAACGGGTACTCAAATCATTTGAATGCCGCCAAGAGAAACCCTACAAATCTTATCTAATAAGATTTGCAGGTTTTCTCTTGGCAGCATTCATTTGATTATATAATTTATTCAATTATTTGAATCAAAATTAATTTGATTTATAAATCAGATATGAAAAAAAAAAAATTTGGTCAACAACGTTAACTTGAGTGTCGCCAAGCGAAAACCTGCAATTTCGATTTTTGCCGTCTCCGCTTTCTGATCCGATTCCTGATAAATTTTAATTAAGCACAACATATATTATATGGTGTGTTAAATTTAAAATCAATTTCGGAAAATTCATAATTCCTGGTTTTCACTTGGCAACACTCATTTCTAATCATTTCAGTGATTAAATTTTTCAAGGACCGAGTCTGATAAATAATAAACTTGATATTCCGAAATCCATTGTGGCACTCATATTACGGTTTAAGGAGGACAAGAATAAAACTACGATTTAAGAAGAACAAGAACATTTAATAACACTTAACATTAACTCGCGAACGATTCGGATCATGATAAACCCGATTCATTCGAGTTACGAATTGACGAGTCCAAATCATCTAGAAATGTTTTCTATTTTTGGAATGATAAATCTGTTTTTCTGCTATGCATACGTTTTTATAAAAGCAGATAAATTGTGTTCTATATTCAACGAGAATTTACATGATCAGATTAACATAAATTTAACCAAGCGCAAAGTTTTCATGTGTGTAAAAATGTTTGGATAAATATGAATTGTGAAAATAACTAAACAACCATCAACTAACAGGAATCTTTTTCACAAATTTGTAAAGATTTTTTGCACACAATTTATCTCGATTTCTACAACGTGTAAAAATTTACATACTGACCTTTATCGCAACATTGATGTAAATGCCATTCAAATCATCTTATCAAATTAACTTTAACTATCAGAAGTAGTGATTTGAACCGAGAAAAATTTCCTTAATCGGTTAACCGAACCGAATTATTTTATTTAACCGGTTGTCAATCGGTTGAGGTTAACTATCTCTGCTTGTTGTTTTATCTTCGGAAATTCTTGGAGAATTGCTCAAATGTTTGTCTCAACTTGTTCGTCTTTTATATTCATTCATTTTCTTTTCGGAACTTTTCGGTGCCTTTGCTCCCTCCTTATTATTTTCATACAATATCAATACTGCCAACCGATTACCTAATTCTCAACCGGATGTACTGGGTCAACCGATTAAGAATTTTCTCAACCGGTCAACCGAAATTTATTCGGTTCGGGTCGGTTAACCGATTATAGGCCAACTGATTCAAATCACTAATCAGAAGCACTTGTTTTTTAAAAATCAGCAAAAAAAGCAATTTTACGAAAAAAAAAAGACTTAAGAAGATACTGATCAAAGTGTACAGTACATTTAGTGTAAGTTAACCAAATCAAATCGACTTAATATTTCATTTCTATTTTATTTTTTCACTTTATTTGGCATCTAATTCTTTTCATTCAAACATATAAATTCTTTTAAATACTTAAATAATTAATCTTATTACAGATGATACGATTTACTACTAGTCTGAAATTATTACTTTATAGTAATTGTTATTAATTTAGGAAAATTGACTGGTTGTTTGCATAATTAAATTCAAAATTTACGAGAAGAAGCGGCTGAACAAACATATCATTAATGTACTAGTAGGTTTTTATTTTCAAATATACGTGTAAAACAGATCATGAATTCATGATTGACCATAGAACATTAAATTACAAGAGTGGTCATTCTATATCCAAAAATGTAATCTAATGAAGTTTCTTAGATAAGGACTACTAATTCTATAGAAAGAAGGATTAAATTCTCTACAGTATCTAGAACGTGTAAAAGAGAGAATAATTTATAATACATTGGAGTGATCAATATAATGCAATAATCATTTCTGAATACCTTTTTTTCTATTCGATTTTATTCGATTGCAAGTATTTTTTTGAATTTAAATAATAATTTACTTAATGATTTAATTAATCAATTATTTTAAAATGACGTACATAAAAATAGGTTTCGTTTTTTAGGTGTACGGAGTTGGATTTACCAATGACTTAATGTAAATTGATTCTTACATACATACTACAGCTATAAAGTTACAGAGCCATTTCTTACATTATTTATGGAAATATATATATATATTCTAACTGTTTTAATTGGATTGTTTACTTGGTTGGCTTAATGTTGTTAGTCGAAATTATTTTTGTCAATCTCAAAATTTGGCTAAATTAAATTGTCTAAATGTCTAAATTAATTTTTTAATAGTAATTTTTAAAAGCAATGTCAAAATTGCCTAAATTCAATTTGCCTAAATGCTTAAATGTCTAAATTATTTCGACTAACTGCACTAGGTTGGCTGAGTGAGTTTTTAATTAATAGTGGTTTTTTTTCAAACAAAATATAAATTCTCTCTGTAGTTGAAATTTAATATCAATCTTTTCAAAATTTCGCTTAAAATTTTTGGTCGTCAGGTCTGTGCATCTAATTATTGTAATGCATACCAATAGCAATCAATACATTGTGTGCTGTATATACAAAGAAAAAAATTTTTCGATAATAGTACTGTACATGTAATGCATAATTAGAATATCAATGTGCTTATGATTCAGTATTCTTGATAGGAAGAAAGCAAATCTTACGCATGTGGACACTTGTATTTTTTTTGACAATGTATGATTTTTTGTTATTATAAAAGAATCTGATCAAGTTAAAATTGATGGTCTATACAAATGTGATATGTACTGTACGTACAGTACCTTTATAAATTTGATATAATGTTAACATGACACAAATTTTCGTAAACGCACATAATCAAACCATCGTAATTGTAGTACCGTTGATAATAAACATAGAGAACGAACAAATATTTTGCAACTGACACTTGCGAAATACAGTAGTAATATAGACAAGAGTAAAGATTCGCTGATAATAATTTTTCAGTGTATTGCTGTATTGAACGCACTGTAAATTAGCCAACATATGCATTCTTAACGTCCAATCATAACGATAAACAGCAAGTTTCTTACGTTAATTAGATTATTATTATTAGTTAATTAAATTGACTGGCACTGGAAGAAAAATTAATAATACCACCGGAGCTTCTACTATTGTAAGTTCTCACTGAAAGATTAAAAATTTCCACTGAAAGCAAAATTTAACAACACTGTCAGACTGACAGTGTTAATAATCTATAGATTTCTCTTTCAGCAAAGATCCGTGACTATATTTAAAAGGAATAACTGTCGCAATGATGAAAAAGTGAATTATACAATACTCAAAGTTTTGCAATGAGAATTTGTCTTTAATACAAAATCAATCCGAAAATTATATTCATAACGTTTATAATGAATAATTCCATTCAGCTAATCACACTATTCATTGTTAATCTATCTGTTACCTCTGTTTTAAAATTTTTAAGTAGTTTATCCAATTCATTATCGAAATCGTCTTTATCCTTCCAGGGCGCCCAAGAGTTAAGCTTTAATATTGAATCACCAATTGATCCAAACACGTCAGTGCTTTCCTTAACCTGGAATTTTTAAATTATTTAATTAAGTCGATTAACTAATTGACACTATTACATTAATTAAATATATTACTTATATTACATTACCGAACAAGACCAATTATTATAATTATTATGATAATATTGAAACTCATTATTTTCTATTGATACCCGGGTAGTTGAAGAGTCGTCATTATTATTGGAAGAAACAATCATTCCGTTCGAACATTCTTCGTTCCAGGACTTTTCTTCAATTATATCTGCATATGTTGTAAGTTTTCGATTCGAATTTTTGGTACACCACGTTGTTATATAATTTTGTTGCTGCTATAACAAGTATTCAAATTAAAATAAAGTGCAAAGATGTTGGTGATTTATGAAAAGTAAATGAAATGGTTATCGTACTGGTTCACTATAATCTTCTGTTAAATGACTTTTATAATTCGTTTCATTGTAATGACGATATGTTTGAAAATTATTTTTATCATTAAAAATTGGAATACTTGATTCTTGATCCCAAGAACTCCGATTATTTTGTGAATCTGGACTATGAATTTGCAGTTGCTTGCGAATAACGATAGTAAATTAATTGAGCATAATCAACATTTAAGAAATGTGGCGTACGTACTTATAGTAACCCATATATATAAAAATAAATAAAGAGTAATCACATTATTCAAGTTATGTGCGCCATCAGTCTCAGCATGTTCAAAATAATACGTTGGTTTGTTATAATCGTCGTTAATTTTTTGATAATCTTGATAAAAATCAACTTTTCCATTGCTGCACACGGAGTCCGCATCATTGCTTCCGTTTTCTACGATTTTAAGAATTTTCTGGTATAAAGGAACCATAACGTCTACAATAAACCGATCATTATATGCAACATTTGTCATAGATTTTTCAATGCCCTTTTAATGTGTACAAGAGATTGGTTATTAAAAATTCTTACTTCAGAAGAGAACCTTAATTAATTATTACCTCATTTTCAGTGTCATCCACTTCGATACTTTCTGACCAGGAATCTTTCATCATGCCATCAACTTTTGGATCATTATTGTTCGGATAGAAACTTGTGTCGATGTCATTAACTCTGTCTTCATCACCTTCTATTCCAATACTGCTTTGGATGACATCTTGATCGAACCTTATTTCATCTTCCCATGCCATTGTTTTATCAATACTATTCAACTCGTCGGATTTCAAGTTAGAATTTTCTTGTTTTCGCTTTAGCCTTGCTTTATAGGTGCGGAAATTGTGCAACAATTTTTGACCGTACCTCAAACTTTTTAAAGGCATCCATTGCCATGGTTTATCACGTTCTTTGATAAAAAAGAAAAAAATAATAATTTATTTATTTTTATTTTGAATGCAATACATGCAATATTTAAAAGTGACTTACTGTTGAATGATACAAGAACATTCAATTGACCTTTGAAATGTTTTTCATTACGAATACAAGTCGGGTATATAACATTTTCTCTATAAATTTTCTAAATTAATATAACACATCCTTATTCACGGTACCAAACACATTTTATGTATTAAATATGAACATTTAATAATACCTTCGTTTTTTGTTGTACGTTTCATGAGGAAAATTTTCATCGTTACTGCTAGTCATCTTTTCGATTATTTACTTAATATTTGTGTAAATTCTGTAGTTATATATAGCAAAAACAAGCACTTGAACAACAATGACCTAAGTATATATAATAATTTTTTCTTTATAAGCTTTTTATCTTGTCAAAAATTCATTAAATCTGAATTATTATTACGCGTCAACCGAAAACGTTATTTTATATAAATCATTATTTTGCAGAGTTAAATTTTATTGAGTACGTCATGTTTGTCTCATTATATTCTATTGATGTAATTATTGGACAGTACTTAAATTTCTTAATTTATATATATTCATATTAATAAATAAAGGAACCCAAGCAGTATTAAACAGGCAATAACATTCACTAAGGAATCAACTATATAAAAAAATATCTGAATTACACAATATAAGATTATATAACTATATGAGCTTAAATGACTTTGCACACATGATTTCTCAAAAAAAAATTTTGTATTAATCTGAAGATCGCTAAGATATTATTCAAACTTAAACTCTACAATAAAAAAAGTACTGTATTGCGATAAAAAAAATTTAATAATAATAATTATTTGATGAACGACGCAGTCATCACCAAAAGAACTCGAGTTTTTCTGTTTGTTCGGTCGTCGTAAGCTAACGGATAATACCGTTTATCAGCATAGCGGGCTTTATTATGATTGGTTGATTTTTGTAGATCATCTCATCACATGGGAAAAATATTATTGGATAATCGAAATTGTTCGCAAGATTGATTTATTT